GCCCGCCGCTGTGCCGGGCTGAGGCGGGACAGCGTTCTCTTGGAACAGCCGGGTTGAAGGTGCTCCGGTGGCCTTTCGCGGCCTAGGAATAACCGCCCGTAACGGGGAACCGAGCGGGAAAGCTGGTTTTTCCAGCTAGTCTTTCTAACGAGTTCAACGGCTTATCTTTAACCCCTAAGCTGTAAAACAAACAAAAACCCACACCAAAAAACCCCACAACCAACCAACCAAACCCACCCAGAAATCAGAAAACTGAAGAGAGTAAAAGCAGCCGGGAGCAGCAATTCCACGTTCCCCTGTAGGTAACGCTAGGTGGTGCCGCGAGCGTGAGGTAAATTCTTCTGAACCAATTTTTTTTGAAAGGAGTCACAGCAAACACATTTGGTCAGCAGCACCTCAATTTGACATGTGTAATTTTTTGCATGCTACTTGTATCCCAAGAGCTTGTACGGTTTCCTTTGAACTCTAAAGTTTAATCGAATAAAAGGTGTTCTCCCGCTTGACTTGCTTACATACAAATTAGAACTGCTTTTTATGCAGATATGTCTGTGAGACTAACGTAGTGGACTGTAGTAGGGTATCCAGGTTCAAATGGCAACGCAAGGAAATTGTTGATGATAGCATAGCTCTCTGGGCAGGCTTATTTATCATGCTTTTTTTTGGTGGGATAACCTGATTTGTATTATGCTACATGATGCCAAGCTGGACTACACCTGCAGCAGAATGGACAATGTAGAGAGGGGCTTAGAACATAAACATTAATTTTTAGGAGACAATAACTAGATGTTTTGAATATTTTGAGCATAAAATCCTTAAAATATTTGTTATAGATGTGACAGCTGAGGCAGTAGGTGTAGCTATTGCTGCACCTCCATCAGAAGGGGAGGCCAATGCAGAGCTGTGTCGCTACCTCTCTAAGGTGCTAGAAGTGAAGAAGAGTGACGTTGTTTTAGAGAAGGTACTTCCTTTTTCTTTTCTTTCAGTTTTGCCCTACTGCAATTTAAATTCAAGATTTTGAAATGTACTTTCAAGTACAGGGAGCTGCTCTCCAAGTTGAGCCCAAAAGACACTTTAAAGGTGTTTAGTTGAGTTAATGAAATGATTCATTGAGAACAAACCTAGTGTAGGAAGAACCACAGCTCATCTTGAGATCTTTAACCAGAGCAGTTCACATCACGGTATATTTTTCGAATTTGTGTGGGGCATGTTTTCTGGGTTCTTCAAAGATTCTCGTGTTTTCATGTCAAATGCAGTTCACACAATTTGTGCTTTGGAGAGAATGTGCATTTTATTAATAACTTTCATTTTCTTGAAGTAACTTCTCTATTTGATGGAAAGTTTTCTCACAATTAACTGTCACACGTAAGCAAGAGCATATGTAAGCACTTGGGTTATATCTGAGCCTCAAGAGTTTCTTTGTATTAGAATTTACATGTCTTGACTTTAGTGAGTGGAAACTCTTTGTTTTATTCATTGCACTGAATAAATAATTTGTTTTATTAATTCATTGTACTTAAAGTTAGTCTTTCCAGCCATGTTCATTTATAGTTTATGAACATAAGAGCACAATGAAAAATTGTGCTTTTTATTTTTGTCTGTTAGTTTAACATAGTAGTTGTAGAAGTCTGCTAAAGGATCGTCATAAATGGCAACACGATGAATGAATTCAGCACTGCATTACTGAAAGGCAGAGGTGTGAAGATTTGAATCTTGTTTTTCCTGAATCCTGGGCAAATGGCTTCATTTGTTTATCAATATTTTACAGATAACACTGTTTTCCTACCTTAAAGGGATGTTCAGGTTTAACTATTCTCATAAATGCTAATTAAAGTTGAACATAAAAGGGGCCAGTGTTGTCTGACCTTCTTGACTCAGTTGTTCTGACCTGTGGTGTCCAAATGATTACGTTAGTGTTTGTTTTTCACAAGCCACTGTCCTCAGTGAAGCACTGTGGTAAAGTCTGTATTTTACCTGTGGCTTAGATTTTTTCCATCCTGATTTGCTAGGTGTAAACAGCGAGTGATTTTTGGTACTGGTTGCCCTCTTAGATGCTACTTGCTTTATGGTGAGTGCTAACATTAACAAAACCAATCCAAATTGGGAAATGATCCAGTATAAAACTGGGGTTACGAGTTTTTTATGGAAGGGCCTTGATTTGCATCAGCAGCTGGCTAGACCGCTTTAAAAGACTATTTTTAATTTTAAGTTTCATGCTATATTTCTGTATAGTAGAGTTAAGGAAGTTTTCCTCCTTCAGGATGTCCCTTGTGCGTTTTTCAAACTTTTTTGGCCAGGCTGCAGATTAACAACCAACTTGTTTCTTATGGTTTACTGAATACTAGCAAAGTTGTGTCTTCAGGCAATGTGAAATGAGGTTGCAGGTTTGCCAGTTCCTGTGTAAAATAGTGTGGGGGTTTTTTCAGTAATACAAAAATGGGTCAATAATATTTCAAATAACTGCTGTATGAATCTGACTGTCTTATAGGTTATATACAATGTGATTTCATTTCAACCTGAGAACTCAGCTTAGGAGTAACTAATACTCTGTGGGAGACAACTCTGAAGAAATATCTGAAAGTACCCAGTTATCCAATACACATATATATACCCACACACTTTTTAAAAAACAAAAATACAAATTGGAGTCCTGCTTCTAGATGATACAAGTGAATTATGGAAACTTATCACTCCTCACTTTTCATTGTAGCCTATAAAAAGAGCATGAATTCAGGGCGTGCTCTGGGAGCCATATCCAATTTTAAAAGGACAGTAGATAAGACATTAACTAGGAAGGACATTGATCTATCTCTTTCTGCTGTTAATTCTGAATGCCCATACTTTAAGAATTCTTTTTAAAGTACCCAATCCGTTGGCATCACAGTGAGATTTTTTTTTTTGAATGTGTATTTGGTGGTGATTCTCTGAAAGATGTTTTTTATGTGTGTGTCTAAACCAGGGTGGTAAATCACGTGACAAAGTGGTGAAGATTTTGGTATCCATGACACCAGATGAGATTTTAGAAAAACTGAAAAAAGAAGCTTCCAGTTGACCTAAAACAAGACTGGGAAATGGGACAATGCATCTTGGTAAATGGACTGATATTCCTTCTTACGTAAATCTAGTCCTGTTGAGAATGTGGGTAAGGAATAGGCAAAGCTACTTCCCCCTCCCCCCCTTTTTTTTTAATATTGGTGCTGTATCATTGAAGTTTTTGTGTAGGTTTGCTTAGAAAAACTTGTCTTTACTGAGGCTCTGTATCTGCTTCTGTCACTACAGACTTTTTCCCCTCTGGAGTGTTTCCTGTTGGTAAGATTTGTCCTCTTTCCTGGTCCCTAAACAAATGGTTTAGAAAACTTGTTTCTTAGTGAACCAAACTTTGGTTGACAAAGTAAAAAGCTTGGAGTGACAGGCTTCAATGTGAAAAGTGGTACAAAAGGATGAGTCTGGATGGATGGTAAAGACCCTGCAAGAACGTTCTCTTCAATATCTAGCCGCAGGTACTGGGTGCAGTTTTCCACTATGTGCACATGTGTACATCTAAAATAAATGTATTTGAGGCCAGTATACTGTTGTTGAACACGCAAGCAAGCTAAAAGCAGAATCGCCTGAACAACTGAAACAAAACTAGAAGTTTGCAGTATGAAAAACTGACCCAGAACCTGGTAATTGCACACACCGTGTCACTTTGTAATAGTCTGTAATTAGTTTCCTGAAAAGTAGCAATACAATCATGTTTTTTTGCCAAATGTATGTCAAGTGTAATGACTGTTTTTAATAAAAGGGGTGAAAAGTATTATGAAAACTTTGGTTTGGGCTTATATTTTAAACTAAAAGTTTCCTAGAAGTCACTTACTAGAATGCTATTTTTAAACAGGGCTTTTTTGCAATCTTTCCTTGATTTAAAAATGAGTAGTATTCAAACCCATAGAGAACTGAGCAGAGTCATTTGTAGAACAGAGCAAGAACTCTGAAACAAAACATACAACTATAACCCAGTCTCAGGGCTGATGAGAAGAAGGTTTAACTTCTCTCTTTGTCATGCTTCAGAGGTCAGAGTAAGATTTAACTAGTATTTCCCCAAAATGTATGTGATATCCCACATGTCTCTTATCAGAGTTTGCTTTTTCATCTGCATCGCTGCTGAGGTCTGAAATTGTCCTATCTTTACTATGGTTGTCATATTTAAAATAGATATATATACACACACGGAATGCTTGAAGTAAAAAAGAAAAACCGTTCTGAAGGTTTGTTTAAGATTTATCATACTTTCTCCTGGAAAGCAATATTATGAATGCAAAAGTTACAGCTAAATTTCTTTACCAGCTTCATGCAGTGTAGGCTTCAGAGCTCATAATTCAGTTTTTCATGGTAAAAAATCTTTTGCTTTAGGAAATTCTTTCTGCTTCCTGTTATCCTAAATATTGCAACAGTTGTTTTTAGAGTTAGATACAGCTCCTTCAAGGTGACTCATTTTCACAGATGTTATGAAGAATGTTACTTTCTTGTTTGGATAGCGTTTGGAGAACTGAGTCTAAATTGTGAATGCTGTTTGCGTAATGGTTTGCGTCTGTGCTCCTTACTTTCTCAGGCTTTTGGTCAGCCATACGTTGCCTCAGTTGCTGTTCCTTCCTTACTCCTTTCTGTCTGTACAGGCTGGTTTTGTTTTACTGTTCTGTCAGTTTTGGTTTACGGCTCCTTGCTGTGTCATCTGTTCTTGCCCAGCAGAGAGGTGCCATGTCTTGCAGAAAAATTAAGGCAAAGCAAGCCAAAACTAAGTGTTCATGGCTTTTTTTTTCTTATTTCCTAAACTACTTTTTATTGTGAATAGAAAACAACAATCCAAAGACTGAGGAATCCTGCATTTATAAGTTATATTTTGAGCTGGATGCTGCAACAGCTATTGTAAAGATTTCTTAGGAAGCTAATACCATATGTTCCATTATTTCAATATAGTACGTAATACATATAATGTATTACATTTTCCCATGACTTCAGACCCAGATTGGAGGAGCTGGGTAGGCAGGTACAGTCTCTGAAGTCCATTGGCCTTCAATGATGATTATCTGCAATAATAGCCAATTTAATCTTTCAGTTCCCTCTGTGTCTTGGCAACATGTTCTGCCTAGTGTCTTTGCTAGCTTCTGCTTCAGAGGTCTCACCTGTCCTAAATGCCTTCAGCTGGCATGCTGCATCTTTTCTTCCTAATCAGTGAAAGTAACTTGAAGACAAAGAGGGTGCCTTCAGTGTAGTATGATGTCATTTTTATGTAACGTGAGCTAGGCACATTGTCACAGTCATCACTTGTCAATCAGGAGACGAGTACTGTTCAGCTAGGAAGTTTATTAGTCCTTGGGCAAACAACGACCGTGCCCTCCTCCCTATTGCTTTTCGGTGTTCTGTTGCATTGACAAGTGTTTGGGAGGAGGGGGGGGAGCCATTTATATAAAACTGCGTTTGTGCTTGGCCAAGCCAAGTACTTTTCTTCTGTCTGGATCATAGTACAGCATTTGAGACTTGCTTTAATCTGTCCAGTTCAGCCATCATACAGTATTTTTTCAAAACTTGTTGCAGTTGACTATTTTTTAGCATTGCTTCTTAGGAAGCAGAAATATTGGTGCCATAGATTGAAGTCCTAGCTTCTGTTGGTCGACACATTACTTAATTGAGGCCTCAGTGATGGTGTAAAAAAGCCATGGCAAATGGAAGCCTCAGTAGCAATCAAAGCAGAGAGATGGAGATTAAGTTCTCCTGGTAGCAGTGCCCTGTCTCACTTAAGACTGAAACAGTGGGCTAGCTAGCAGTGTGGCAAATAAAGCCTTTATGTGCTGGGAACAGAGAATTTATTTAATATGAGTAACCAAAATTATTTTAGAATAAATATAGTAGTATAAATAACACTGGGTTGTTGCCATGTTTAATATGAGAGCTGCTTGTATCAATGTTTTTCTGAAGTCTTCCAGTTATATCCATAATATCTTGGTTGTGGATATGGTGATGTGCCTGGGAGGCAGGAGTTGTTGGCCCACGGTATATCAAAAGTGAGGTACACAAGAGTTAAGCAGCTTGCGTCACCAGACAAGTCAGTGCCAAAACTGTGATTTAGGCTTAGCTCTTTCAAATCTTCTATTGAAATCCTAACCTGCCAACTATCTCTTCATGAACACAGTGAAGTATCTTTAGTTGTGTTGAGAAAATTGTGATAGCAAATATCCCTAACTATTCCGCAGAGTATGTTTTTTAATAGAGTGATATTGTGATGTTGTAGGAGGCTTCTTCCAAGAATTTCAAAACACTTTTCACATCCCCTGTCTCAAAGTAAAACTTAACTCTTACTCCTAGACCAGTTTAAAAACATTGTAGTGCCAGTTGCTGCCCTCCTCTTACTCATTGGTCCCTGCTTTATCCTTATGCCTAAGACTATCTGATTAGTCAGCTTCTTGAAATCCTACTATTGACTCAAGCACTGTCCTCTTTTCCTAATGTGTTGTCTGACCAATTTCAGTAAAATGTGTCTAATGGTGATTTACTATCTTCCTACTTACAGACCTAGGCAGTCAGTGCATTTTTTATATAATTAAGGTATTTAAACATTAGCAAAATAGTTATCTAAATAAATTCTATGCCAAGCAGTCTTATGGCATAGAACATTCTTGCTCTTTCATCCACTTGGTTACATTTATTTTCTAAAATCCAACTTTGAAAGTAGGTATATGGTTTCATTGCAGTACTCTAATGTGCTAATTAAGGCTATTTAATTATACCCTCTGAAGCTGGCCTCTTTGCTCGTTTACTTTCAATCCACTCCATTTATCACCTGCAGCGCATTCCTATCTCTCCTTTTAGTCCCAAGTGTTTCTAAATCCCTATTTCTTCAGGTATCATCAGTCTAAATAATCCTGTATAATTGACAACTTTGTCAATAACTGGCAGTGGCAATTTACCAGAAAGCACAGTTTAATATCTTCCTTCTTTCAGCCTCCAGGAAGATAGATACACCTGATCTTTCTGCGCATTACTTCACATGTCTCACTCTCAGTGTTTCCCCTCTCATACTGTTTATTTGCATATTCTTGAACCAGCTGAATCCCTCTTTAAAATTTTTTTAGTTCAGCCTACTATATTCTCCCCTTAATGTTTTTCGTCTTTATCCCAGGAGGGCGATTCACTGCCGTATTAGCTATTATAAAAATGTGTTCCCCTGTCTCCTTCTGGGAACACAGTTCTTTACCCGCACGTAAAGTGTATCTTGGTGGTTATTCTCTAGGAAGGCTGCTGCATTTGGGGCAAAGTGCTGTTAGTGTAACCAAGGCGCAATGAACAGTCAGAAAGCTGCTGAAGAAATTAAATACCTGCTCGAAAGGAGGAGTCTGATACTTCTCTAAAGTACTGGGAATTAATTTTTCCTGGTCCTTTGTATATTAGTTTTTCAAGTAATTGTTTGTGAGCGATGAAGAATTTTGCTTTCATCTATACATGCTGCATTTATTTGTTTTTGCATTGTTTCAAGAGCTGGGGAAGTTAGAGTGATGAAGTAGTCTACCATACAATCTTACTACAGCTCGAGGCTCAGGTTTTGGAACATTATTTAAATAACATTTTGAGTTTCCAAGTCTGAAATAAGGCAGGTGGAAAGGGAAATATATTGAGTATCAGTTTAGCAGGTGGTCACTATAGAAACATGCTGTAAAGAGAACCATTAACCATGGACTTGAGGAGAAAAGAATGTTGAAATAAACAACAGAGGGTCAAAGCCTCATTTTGTGCTGCTCAGATAAAGCAGTTGTCTGCCTTAAGAGAATAACTGGGGTTTCAAAGTGTAATTCTGGATTGATTGTCATTAAGTTACCTTTATTTTATTACCTAGTATGCATGCAGCGCACATGGGAAGGGCTGCACCATGTTATTCCTCCGGCCAGCTTTCATTGCTGTAGTGTTTTGCAAACCAGGATGCACTGAGGCAAAATTTATTAAAAAATTTCAAAGCTCTCAATGCATGTTAGGACATACTTGGTGCCCATCTGTCTGAAAGGGGCATTAGCAAGTTGAATT